CTCTCTCTCTCTCTCTCTCTCTCCCCCCCCCCCCCCCCCTCCCCCTCCCCCCCCCCCGTCTCTCTCTCTCTCCCCCTTCCTGGTTCTCTTTTCTCTTCTGTTGATTTCACTCCTTCCTTCTCTCTCTCTTCCCTTACCGTTCTTTCTCTGCCTGTGTACCCTTTTCTCCCTCTCATTTCTTTCTCTTTTTCTCCCTCTCTTAGTTCTCTGTTCTTTGTCTCTCTTTCTCCTCTCTTTTCCTTCTCTCCCCTCTTACTTTCTTTCCTTTCCCTTTTCCTCTTGCTTTCCAGCTTCTTCCTCTCCCTCTCTCTGTTCTCGGCAATCCAAGGAAGCCCGCACAGCCCCAGCGCGCAGCCTCGCCCCTTGGTCCCACTGAAGTTACCCGGATGATCCATGCAGGTGGGAACAATCCAGTTAACTTTTCCCATCCAAGTGATTCTCTTTCTCTTCTTCCTTCATAAGTCCCATAACTCTCCCGGTCCTCCTTTCCAGGCCCCGTGCACTTGATTTCCAGGCTTGCCTGCCACCCAGGGTGTCACCAAAGAGGCCCAGTGCCTGGGGAGGAGGAGGGAGCGGACCCGTTGGGGTACCCCAGGCTGTCCACCGCCTCACCGCTGCCTCGCCTCTGAGCTGCACCCTCAGCTGACTCACTCAGATGAGATTTGGGGAGGAGGGGGGCAGGAGGAGGAGTTGGGAGGAGGAGGAAAACCCGCCTGGTCGGCTCCACACTTTGCCTGGATGCGTTTTGGTTCGGTGGGGAGCGGGTGACGACCTCATTTACAAACAGCGGCCGGCGCTGGCTTCTAGGCGACTGGGTTAGCCACTTCCACTGCGCTTCTGCGCTTGCTGGGATCCAAGTTGACGCGACTTTTCCAGGAGTATCTGGAAGACCTGAATAGAAACTTCAGGGGTCCCAGGACTCGTGGGGCTTAGAGGAACTCCCCATCTGCCTTGCCCTTCTAGGAAATGGCCTGGCTAGGGGTGCGCTCTAGCGCAAGGAGCGCATCGCTCTGGGTTAGCTGGGACCAGGGTTTGGGGGAGGCCTCCGTGCCCACTGCAAAGACTTTGGAGAAGGCGGCAGCCAGAGAACAGACATCTGGGGGATGGCTGGGGGTCTGAATGGCAGGAGGCGCTGCGCCAGGGGGCTGTGCCCGCTGCGCGAGAGTGCGCGCCTCGCCAGGGACTGTCTCCACCTCTTCTGGCGAGTTGGACCTATGAGTGCGCAGCTCCGCTTACAACTATCAACAGCCCGGGAGGCTGAGGGTGTGTGAGCGCCGAGGGGGACGCAGGACCCTTGCAACTTCTTCGCAGGACCCCAGCCTGGCCGCCGGCGCCCGCTACGGTCCGAGAGCCCCGCGCCAGCGCCTCCCCTTTCGCACCGTGACGGCGCCTGGCGGGCTGTCTGGCCAGCCCCGACGGGATACCCACAGCCATGCTCCCCTCCGCCTGCGTCCTGGTGCTTCTGGGAGGTAGGTGCCACCCTCCCCCACCCGGCAAACTGGCTGAGGTCGGAAGGGAGGGAGCTCGCCGTCTGATGTCCCCCAAGGACCCATGGAGACTGCGGCCCTGCGCCGGTGCAGGCGGCTGGTATGCTGCGCCCTGCAAGCCCTTCTGCAACCTCACCTGGCCTGCACCTGCGCGCCTCCAGGAGCTTCCTGGGCCCTGCGGGAGGGAGTCTTGTCACCGCACATTGTGCACTGCACCAGTCTGGCCCGGCCCGTGGGTACCCAGAGCGGCCCCTTGTGCGGGTCCCAGTGGGTCTGGGGCCTCCAAGAAGATGCAGGAGGATCCCAGGCCCACTGAGACCCCCGTGGTGCGGGACAAGCCCAGGCCACTCAGACCAAGGTTGCTGGGGTTGGTCTTGTCCACGGAATCCTGACCTGTGCGGGGTCGGGGCTGCGTCCTATAGCAGGACTGGGGGAGAAGTTAGGGAGCCGCAGTGACCCCAGGCTCGGGTTGTGCCCAGCAGCCTTGACAAAGGGAGCCAAGGGGCTTCGGGAACCCCTGGTAGAGGAGGCAGTGCCTTCTCCAGGACTAAGGTACTTCCTAGTGGCTCTTCATGGGGGTGGGGAGGAGGGTAGACAAAACCGTACAAATGCCAGCTGACTAGAGTGTGCCATCACAGGGCCCAGGCACCATGGAAAATGACAGTAACCGCAGTTGAAGTATGCCCAGCTGGGGGCTCACCCCCAAGCACCTTCACATTATGAAGGGCTAAGAATTCCGGCCCTGGAGTTAGAACACCTTCACTGGGAAGCCCAGAACAATGTATCAACCTGCCTGGCCTTGGGTAAGCACGGCCATCTGCTCGCTCAGCCTTGACTTTCTCTCCTGTGAAATGGGCTCACAAAATCCCCTCCGCCATCTGGGATGATTGTGAAGATTACAAGAGCGCGTGCAGGAGGAGCACTCTGCTTGCTGCCTGGCACTGAGCTCCTGTTCAGGGAGTGGCAGCTGAGAACCCTGGGGCAAGGAGGGCCTGCTCGGCCCACAGAGCATGCTCTGCTCCATTTGTAGGTGAGAGGCAAAGTCCAAGTCACCTCGAGGAGCTCTTCAATCACAGTCTTTTCTTCCCAGCCCCCAAATTTCTTTTTTTTTTTGAGACGGAGTTTCACTCATGTTACCCAGGCTGGAGTGCAATGGCGCGATCTCGGCTCACCGCAACCTCCGCCTCCTGGGTTCAGGCAATTCTCCTGCCTCAGCCTCCTGAGTAGCTGGGATTACAGGCACACGCCACCATGCCCAGCTAATTTTTTGTATTTTTAGTAGAGACGGGGTTTCACCATGTTGACCAGGATGGTCTGGATCTCTTGACCTTGTGATCCACCCGCCTCGGCCTCCCAAAGTGCTGGGATTACAGGCTTGAGCCACCGCGCCCGGCCCCCAAATTTCTAAGCAAACTGTTTTGAGAAGAGCTGGCAGGGGTCTGAAGGAGGGTCAAGGGAGGGTGCCTCTACAGCTTGAAGAGTTGCAGATGCAGCCATCGAAAGGGACATTCATCCAGGGGCTGCTTTCCCTGACCGTCTGAAAGCAAGAGGTCACACAGCTGTCCTTGGCCACAGAGTTGATCATCAGCATGAAAATAGACTACAGCAGCCATGCTGGTTCTTTGGAAAGGGCAGGAAAATGTGAACAGGAAAGGGGGACAGCTGTGAAAACGCACCTCTGCTGGGTGCTGACCTAGGGAACACAAGATGGGGAAAGCAGGTGCCTGCCTGCTCTCATCCACCTCCTCCAGGCCGTTGCACCCAGTGGGAATGGGACAGTCAAGAGCGGTAGGACACATGCCCCAGGAACCTGCAGTCTCAGTCACAGCACAGTGCTGTTGTCTTTGGCAGGCCCAAGGTTCCCGTCATGCCAATAAAATCACTGAGTGTAGAGCCGTGGCTGGCTCTTGAGGAGTCTTGCTGCCCAGCTCCTCGGTGACCTTTCACCACAGCAAGTCAGACACATTCAATAGCAGAGAAGCCAAGAGTGCCCAGTGGGGCTGACGAGAGGGGGGCAGCCTGCTCCGGGGTCCACCTGCCCTCAACTCAGACACAGCTGCCAGAGAGGGCAAGGATGCCATTCAGCCTGCCGCTGCAGCTCCCAGCTCTACCCTGGGCACTATTTTCCACCAAACACTTCTTTCCAAATTTCTTTTCACCACTGGCTGCATCACAAGATGATGAGATCCTTTTGCTTTAGTAAAAGGAGACAGAACCCAGTTAATCCTTCAGCTGCTTACATAATTCAGGTACCTGAGCCAGGCATGCCTGAACTTCATGTCTCCAGGTTCCAAAAACTTTATACATAACGGCACACCAGCTACCCCACCAAGGGAATTCAGATTGAGTACACGTAGGTTAGGGGTTCTCAATCTTGCCACTATTGACATTGGCACCATATGATTCTTTTTTGGGGATGAGGGGCCCATCCTGTGCATTTTGGGGTGCTTAGCGGCATCCCTGCCCTCTTCCTGCAGATGCCAGTAGCTCCTCCTCCTAGTTATGATAACTGAAAATGTTTCTAGAAATGACACATGCCTCCTGGGGATAAAGGGGCCCCCAGCTGAGAATCACTGGTATGGACAGATCATACCCAACTGGTAGCTTTTCAGATGAATCTGTGAAAATCACTGGGTTGGTTGGATTTTGTTATTCTTGCTCTGAACGATCAGGAAATCAAAGGCACAGTAGGGCCCCAAGAAAAGCAGCACAGCTTAGGTAGTTTCTAACTTGGACGTTGATTTTTTCCGTTTGTTCTCCCTCCATCTTGTATTTAAACATGTCCCCATGGTGGCCCGCAGGAGCCAGGCTGTGGTACAAGTAGTCACCCACTCAGTGAGTCTTCCTCTAAACCCTGGCAGGCCAGGTGTGGCTGGTGCCCGTTCTCCAGATGCCGGTGTTGGTTCACTCCACAGTAATTTCTGGCTTTTAAAAATCTCATTGCTCAACAATTTGTGCTGGAGGAGGGAAATGAGGAACCATAACTGCTGCTTTTTTTTTTTTTTTTTGTTTTTTTTTTTTCCTTTGGCACTTTTTTTTTTTCTAATTTCAGTTCTGCTTTATCTCCCGCCATATACTTTGTGATGGCAAGTTATCATTTAGAGTCAGACTAACTAGGTCAAAATCACGGGCTATTCTGTAACAAATTAGTTGTCGATGTGAAGCTCTGTCTTTAAACCAAGAATAAAGGCTGAGAAGAAAATCAACTTAAATACACTCATCTAAAAATCTTATGTGAATAGAGACCTGTAATCGTATTTGTTATTTAAAACGAAAAAATGATCAAGAGAAACTTCCTCTCGCTGCTTTGCAACGTGCTCTTCAAAGACGATGATCATGACCGCCGTGTCACTTATCTGACGGAGACTGTAATCTCGAAATTCAAAATAACCAGCTTAAAGCAAATATAGCAACTTCCTTGATTTCAAAACCATCTGGAGGGCAAACCAGTTAGAAGCTACATGTGAAGAAATATTTTTGCAATGTATTGGAAGTTAACTATGGTAATGAAAGCTTAAAGCCAGAATGAGCCCCTGATAAAACTTCCAAGATACATGGTTCACTGCCAAAACCAGCCTGGAAAATGAAGATCAATAGCCCAATGCAAAGGGAAGGAGAAACCATGAAAATCGACTTGAACTGGAGTGCAGCTAAGCTGAGTTTGGGGACTCTTCAGAAGGAAGTGAATTCTGAAGCTGTCACAGAGGGTGGTTTTAGAATTAGACAGACCTGGGTCCCACCCTGGCTTGGTTACCTGCCTGTTCTGTTACCTGAACCCAGGCAGCCTCCCTGGGCATGTGGCCCAGTCAGTGAGTTGGGAATAGTAATAGCTGTGACCTCAGGGCGTGCCAGAAGTGTTCAGTAAGATGATACATGGCCAGAACTTAGCACTGAGAACCTGGTGAACCCTCTGTGCCATCCCTACAGGAGTGAGACACTGCTCTACAGTCCCCAGGCCTGGGGAAGAAAGAACCAGGGCGCCTGCTCTCAGGAAGCTGCCGTTTCAGCTTGAGCTTGCATGTCTCACTTAGTCACCATCTCCTTTGGCAGGTGCTGTATTTTCTTCCCCATGAAATACCTTGACTATTATAATGATACCCACAGCAGCAACAAAATTAATAGTTGTTGAGATTTAACCCC